GAGGCGGGGGTGAGGGTGGGGGGGCCTGCTGGGTGGGGCCTCATCACTGTCCCCCCTGCAGGATCCAGAAGAGCATGCTGCTAGATCTCAATAAAGAAATCATGAATGAGCTAGGCGTGACGGTAGTGGGTGACATCATTGCCATCCTCAAACATGCCAAGGTGGTGCACCGCCAGGTAGGTGCCCTGCTGTGAGGTGTGAGTGTGAGGCTGCAGGGGACTGTCATAGGGCCAGTAGGAGGCCTGGCAGCAAAGGAAGGTGCAGTGTTCACAGGCAGGTTCCGCTCTATGCTGTGTGATATTGGGCATGTTGCTTGACGTCTCTGAGCCTTGTTTTCTCTGTCTTCCCAATGCAGTGAGGCAAACCTTAATTCTTGTGTTTCTTTTTCCATTCTCTGTGGCTTTGGAGCCTGTCCTGGAACTTGCTCTGTAGACCAGGCTGGCCTTGAACTCACAGAGATCCTCTGCCTCTGCTTCCCAAGTGCTGGTGACATACTGCCACCTGGCATATGTAACACATCTTTGCCTAGTTAAACAAACATTTCCACAACACAGGGTGCTTTCTTTTAGCCCAGAGCTGAGTGGTATAGAGCTGGAGAGATGGCTCAGAGGTTAAGAGCGCTCACTGCTCTTCCAGAGGACCCAAGTTCAGTTCCTAGCACTGACGTCAGGAAGCTCACAACTGCTTATAACTGCAGCTTCAAGGGATCCCGTGCTGGTGGCCTCTACAAGCACCCACATTTACATACACTACACACACAGACATACACACACACACACACAAAAAAAAAAAACTAAAAATGGGTTAAAAAATAAAACAAACAACCCCAAAGCAGAACAACTTTTCGTTTTGGTTTTTGAAGATAGGGTTTCTCTTTGTGGCCTTGTCTGTCCCCGTACTCCTCAATCTGGAGACCAGGCTGGCCTCAAGCTCACATAGATCCGCCTGCCTCTTGAGTGCTGGGATTAAAGGTGTGTATCACTACTTCCCGGTTGGCAGAACAGCTTTTAAGGTCTCCAACCTTCTGGGTGCTGCTCGCTGCACTAGGTCCCCTGTTCTAGGCTGACCCCACTACCTCTCATTTCCAGGACATGTGCAAAGCAGCCACCGAGTCAGTGCCCTGCAGCCCCAGTCCCGTCCAGAGTGAGCCTCGCCGCGGCGCCTCTAGTGGTGAGTTGCATCCATTCAGTCTCTTGGTTGCATCCCGTAGCCGAAGGGAACACGTCTGGCCGTCCCATCCACCTCGTAGTTTGCAAAGGTGGAAGGAAGCAAAGCCATTGAAGCACTCTGTCAGGGACCATATAAGCTGGGCAGGGAGTGACTGTTTAAATAGCCCTTTCTTACTCTTAATAGTCATATTTGTTTGAATTATTGATGTGTGTGTGTGTGTGGGGGGGTGTCTCGCAAGACAAAGTGAGAAAGTTAGAGGACATATTGTGGGGGTTGGTTCTCGCCTTCTACCATGTAGATCTCGGTGCTCCAATTTGTGTCATCAGGCTGGACTGTAAGCACCTGTTCCCCCTCGGAGTTGTCTTCTGGCTTCTCTCTCTCTCTCTCTCTCTCTCTCTCTCTCTCTCTCTTTCCTTTTTTTGGCAAAGGTTTATATAGCCCAGGCTGGCCTTGAAGTCATTATCCTCCTGCCTTAGCCTCTTGCTTCTGGGATCACTGCCTCTGATGTGTTTCTTTTGGCGGTGCTAAGGATGGAGCCCAGAACCTGTGCCCAGATGGGCGCAGGCTGACCATACACTCTGCCGTTTCAGTCAGTTACACCTCAGCCATACATATCCCCTTCCTTACCTTATCTCTTCCTCTTTGTCCTGGTTTGCTTGGTTTTCTTGGTGGGTAGTGGTGGTTCAAGACAGGGTTTCTCTGCAGCCCTGGCTGTTCTGGAACTCACTTGTTCTGTAAACCAGGCTGGCCTTGAACTCACAGAGATCACCTGCCTCTGCCTCCTGAGTGCTGGGATTAAATGCGTGTGCCACCACTACCCAGCCTAATGATAAAGCATGACTAAAAGCACGGGGAGGAAGGAGTTTATTCAGCTGACATGTCCTGATCAGGACATCAAGGCAGAGGCCAGGGACGAATGCTCCTCTTTGGCTTGTTCTCCAGGTGTGCATACAGCTACCTTCTCTTCTCTTTTTTTCCTTCTTGAAGTAGGGTCTTACTATGTTGCCCTGGTTGGTCTTGAACTCAGAGAGATCTGTCTGTCTCTGCCTTCTGAGTACTGAGATTAATAGACATTGTTTCCCCACACCTATCCAGCTATCTTTCTTATACCTCTAGGGACCAACCACCTGCCAAGAATGGCACTGCCTGTAGTGGGTAGGCTCTCCCACAGCAGTCCCCACAGACTTGTCTCCCGGCCAATCCGATGCAGGCATGTTTTGACACTCCCCCCCCCCCCCCAGGCCTCTAGTTTGTGTAAAGTTGACAGAATCTAACCAGACTTTTTAAAAACTGTATTTATTATTTACATTTATTTATTCTCTGTGTGTGTCTGGGGAGTACTGATTCGCCCTGGCCCAAGTGGTGGCTAAATGACCCTGCTTATCCTCTACTGCGGCATGTGGGTCCCAGGATCAGGACCTTCACCCCCCCCATGCCTTTGTTCACTGAGCCTATCTGAGAAGATGCCCCCCCCCCCCCCCCCCGTGTGTTCCCTTTAAAGGACACCTTGTTTACCGTATGCTCTTGAGTCATTTGCTGAGCTCACAGCCAGCACCACCGTGACTCATTTCCAGAATAAAAGCTTGTAAGCCACACACATTTGCCACGCAGCACACTGTGTTCTTCCCATGCAGTGCAGTGTCACACAGCACCTTAGCAGTGTGCTTAGCAGGGGTCATTTTAAAGCTGCACAGTCCCCGAGCAAAGGCCAAAAAAAAAAAAAAAAAAAAAAAAAAAGCCCACTTTTTACATTCCTAGCAGTAAGTAGGCCATGGGAGGATGCTTGCCGGAACTCATGTGAGGAGGCCACAGGGTCTGTTTGACACAGGCCGGGAAGGTGTGCAAATCTGGGAACCGCTTCGGAAGCAAGCACCCCATGCGACGGTGCCAGGGTTGTCGTGAAATGCAGTGAGATGAGCCTGCACACACAGACGCTGAAGACCTGGGCAGCAAACAGAGTGAGACCCTATTTTCAAACCACACAGGCTGGGCTAGAACTCAGCTGGCATACGATAGGCCTTGGACTGAGTCCTCGGCTCCAGACAATCCAGGCACTGTATTGTCCACACCTGTAATCTCAGCATCTAAGAAGTGGCAGCAGGAGAATTAGAAGTTTAAAGGAGGGGGTTGGAGAGAGAGAGGGCTCAGTGGTTAAGAACACTTACTGCTCTTCCGGAGGACCCGAGTTCAATTCCCAGAACCCACATCAAATAGTTCACAAATGCCTGTGACGCTAGCACCAGGGGATCTGATGCCTTCTTCGGGCCTCCAAAGGAACCTGTATACATATGGCTTACACACATATACACACCTAAATAAGAATAAATAAATTTAACAAGAAAAAAAAAAGTTCACAGTAATGCGTTTGAAGCCAGCCAGGAATATGTGAGATCCTATCTCAGGAAAGAAAGAAAGGAAAAAAAAAAAAAGTGGGGGGCTGGTAAGATTGCTCGGCAGGCAAAGGCTCTTGCTGTGCACACCTGGCAACCTGAGTTGTCTAGAACCTGTGAAAGTTAAAAGAAAAGAACTGACTGAAACTTGTCCTCTGACCTCTGCGTGTGTACTGTGGCGTTTGAGTCCCCATTGCCCGTCCTGCCCGCATAGAAATTATCTAGAAGTGTCACGCCTTTAACCCCAACACTCAGGCAGATCTCTTGATTTTGAGGAGTTTGATCCCAGCATGTGGAGGTAGCTCTCTCTGAGTTTTAGGTCATCTTGGTCTACATAGAGAGGTCTAGGCCAGGTGGGGCTGCACAATAGCATGCCCTTTCAAGAAAAAAAGGGAGATGGCATGCCTGGTAAAGTGCTTGCTGGGTGAGTGCTTGCCATGTAAGGGTGTGGATCTGAGTTTGGATCCTCAGCACTCTTGTAAAGATGGATGCTGTAGTGCACATCTGTAACCCCAGGTGAGAGTCCCTGGACGCTCACAGGCCAGCTGGCCCAGTGTATGTATTTGCAAACAAATGAGACTCTGTCTGAAACAGGCAAGGATACACATCTGAGTGTCCCAATTTTGTGTGTCACACATGTGTGTCACAATTCACACACAAGAATGCACACACACACACACACACACACACACACACACACACACAAAGATGAACAGTCAGTCACAGACATTTACTTCTCATACTTTTATGGGTTGGCTGGTCACTGTCCTCGGATCCAGCTTAGCAGGTCTCTGGTTCCATGATGTCTATGTTGAAGGATGGCTTCGTTCACACATCGATTACTGGCTCAATGTCAGCTGGAGTCATAGAGGTGGCTTGGTGCCTTCCTTCCATCATGCAGCAGGCTAGCCTAGGCATGTTCTGACAGTGGGAGTGAGTCATAGGGTTCCTGAAAACAGCCTTAGAAGGCAGCCCCAGCCCTGGGGCCTCAGGAGTCTCTGCTTTCGTAACACCTGCTTTCCTGATTGGACAAAGCAGAGTCAGTGCTGGCAGGGCACACCCAAAGGTGCTGATGCAGGGAGGTTACAGGAATGAGGCTCTAGAGTGTGTGCTTAGTCTGTGAGGCCCTGTGTTCTAGCCTCAGCACCAACTCATTAGAGGCTCTGCTGGATAGCAGTCAGTATGAGACAGCTGATAGCCAGCATAGCATCCAAAGGAAGAGGCAAGCAGTCCTTTCAGAGTCCCCTCCTCCCCCTTTCCACTCATTGTCTCCTTTCAGGGCACCCACAGCCCTGGCTACCAGTAGCATAGATGAGTTTTGCCAGTTTTTCAATTGCCTGTCGATAACATTTTCATACCCTTCTGAATGCCTCCTCCTCCTTCCTTCTCTCCTCCTCCTCCTCCTCTTCCTCCTCTTCTTCTCCCTCCCTCCCTCCTTCCCTCCCTCCCCCCCTCTGTCTCTCTCTCCCTCCCTACCTCCCTCTCCTTTTCCTTCTTCCCTCCATCCCTTCCAAGACAAGGTCTCACAATACAGATATAGCCCTGACTGGCTTGGAATGCATGTAGACTAAGCTAGCCCTGAATTTACAAATCCACCTGCCTCTGCCTCCAAGTGCGGGATTAAAGGCGTGTCCCATCACGCCTGGCCTCAATGCCTTTTATAATTTCAAGTAACTGAGAAATGAAACCAAAGCCGTGCGTGGGAGCTCACGTGTATAATCCTAGCACTCAGGAGGCTGAGGCAGGAGGATTGCTGTAAATTAGCCAGCCTAGGTTACATTGTGAGTTCCAGGTCAGTCCAGAGTGAACCAAAGTCTTTAAAAACAAAATCCTGTCAAGTGATGAGGACTGTGGGACAAAGTGGTGTCATGGGTCAGCGTAGCAGAAGTAGAAGGGGGTCCCGGTGTGGGGGATGTTAGAGGAGTCGGACATGGTGAGCTGGCTTGTTCCTAGGGATATGAAGCTGCTGTCCAGGGCCCTAATCAAACCTTACATCACAAGGATGGAGCAGCCTCCGGGTGACAGCAGCTGCTGCTGCTTCCTGATTCAGGCCCCAACGCTGGATTGAGAATTCGCTCCTAGACTGTTGTTCCTGAATCCTCCTCACTGCCATCTCCCAGTCCCTTCTCCAGGGTATCCCCAGAGTGACTGGGCTCAACTCCTTCCTCCCACAGCTGCTTCTCGAATGATCACCAACAGCCTGAACCATGACTCTCCACCCCACACTCCCCCAAGGCGGTCAGACACCAGCACCTCCAAGATCTCCGTCACTGTGTCCAACAAGATGGCAGCGAAGAGTGCCAAGGCTGCCGGTGAGGGCTCTTGGGCAGGTGTTGGGCAGAGCTGCAGGGGAATATGGGTGAGAAGAAGATGAGCGCGTGTGTGCGTGTGAGTGTGAGCATATGTGTGGGGTGTGCTAAATGTGACAAGGTGCTTCAGAGGGCACCCAAAGGTCACTGACCTTTGTGAACTTGAGTCTGAGAACTTCATTTTTGTTTCTCTCTTTTTTTTTTTTTTTTTTTTCAAGACAGGGTTTCTCTGTGTAGCTTTGGAGCCTATCCTGGCACTCGCTCTGCAGACCAGGCTGGCCTCGAACTCACAGAGATCCGCCTGCCTCTGCCTCCCGAGTGCTGGGATTAAAGGCGTGTGCCACCACTGCCCAGCTTGTTTCTCTCTTTTCTTAAATTAAATTTATCCTTTTATTTTACATCTGACCAAAGTTTCCCCTCCCTCCTACCCTCCCATTTCCTCCTTTCTGACCCCCTTGTCCACTCCTCTGTTTCGGTTCACAAAGGGGCAGGCCACCCATGGGTGTCAGCAAAGCATGGCATATCACGTTTCTGTAAGACTAAGCACCTGCCCTTGTATTAAGGCTAGGCTGGACGACTCAGTATGAGGACTAGGTTCCCAAAAGTCAACAGGTTAGGGACAACCCTGCTCCCACTGCTAGGAGTCCCACAAGGGGACCTCCTTATTTTTTCTTAACTTGAGATTTATTTTTCTTTTTAAATTGTATGTACGTGTGTGTGTGTTTGTGCCCCTGGAGGCCAGAAGAGTGGTTTCCCTGGAGCTGAAGTTAGGCCGTTGTGAGTTGTCTGATGTGAGCGCTGGGAACTAAACTTGGGTCTGTGCAGAATCCGTACTTGGTCTTAAGCACTGAGCCATCTCTAGCTCCATGTCACTGTTTCGAGAAGGGCGGTGATGTCTTGCTTTCAAGGACAGTGAGAAGCTCTCCAAGACAGACTGGAGACCTGTTCCCCGTCTCCTTGGTAACAAAGCTGGCCTTGAGCTTGTTATGTAGCCAGGATGACGCTGACCTGCTCCTCCTGCCTACCTTGTGGATATTCAGCTCTCAGGCATGGCCTGCTACTCCTTGTTTATGCAGTGCTAGGGACAGTGAGCCCAGGGCTTCTGTGCATGCTAGGCTGAGCCGAGGCCCCGCTCTCAGCACTTCCTCTTGCCAGCTGGCTGCCAGCTTTTGCCTGTGGCCTTCAGCTTGCAGCATGGGGCTCCTTGGGTTTTTCTGACTGCCCTCTGTCCAGGGCTTCAGTGGGTGGGCTCCAGGGGGCTCAGCCTTTGGCCTCTTGAACTTTCCTGCTCTCTGCTGTGTTCTTGAACCTTGTTGGATCCATTCCTAGTTCCTAGTGTAAAAAGACACCTGTGGAAACTGAGGCCCCAGGAGAGGACTTCATTTTACAGTTGCCCAGTAGTTCCCCATCACATATCTATTGCCATTGCTGCTCTGGCTTTGTCTTTGGGATGTGTGTGTGTGTGTGTGTGTGTGTGTGTGTGTGTGTGTGTGTGTTAGTAGAAGCGCCTTCAACTAGAAGGTAAAATTAGTTGCTGTGTGTAGTGGCTCACACCTATAATACCAGCACTTGGGAGGCTGAAGGCAGTCAGATTGCTGTGAGTTTGCACCCAGGCTGGTCTGCAAGCTTGAGTCCTTGTCTCATGAAAAGAAACAAGATTCTAGAACTAGGCTAAGTGGTAGCATATTTGCTTAGCATGCACAAAGGCCTGGATTTAATCCCCAGCATCACAAAAATTTATAAACGTAAGCTGGGCAGTAGTGGCGCACGCCTTTGATCCCAGCACTTGGGAGGCAGAGGCAGGTGGATCTCTGTGAGTTCCAGGACACCCAGGGCTACACAGAGAAACCCAGTATTGCAAAACAAAAACAAGCAAAAAATAAGTAAATGTAAAAGCTAGGCATGGTGGCGCATACCTGTAAGTCCCGAATTCAGAAAGCAGAGGTGGGGGGATCAGGGGGTGTAGGGGAAGCTGTAGCCACGCCTTCTTAGGGGCTGGCTACAGGAGTACCTGAGGGCTTGTGAGGGTGTGGTCAGAGTGAGTAGGGGGACTGCGTTTTCGGTTTCGGTCTCTCTTTGCTTCTTGCTGTACAGACTACCACCGGCTGGCTGGTCCGCTCTGTAAGTAAGGCTTTTCCCTATTAAATACCCTTATATTTCTACCTGACTCCATATTGGTAATTTCCTCTTTCAGATGACTTTAGGGTTTAGTTAAAATAGATAGTTATCTTCTTATATTTTACCTTTATACTGTTAAGTTTTAATTCTCTTTTAGACTAAAAGGGGAATTGTAGGGGAAGCTGTAGCCACGCCTTCTTAGGGGCTGGCTACAGCTTCCCCTACAAGGGGGAGTCATTTCAAATTCACATTTGGTTTGGTCTATATGGAGAGTTCCAGGCTAGCTAGAGTCACAGCGCTGAAACAATGGTGGAAAGTCTGCCTCCTGACCCAGGGAAGGGAATTCTTTTCTGTAGTTGAAATATAAGGTAGGTGTGACAGAGCGTGTTGGAGTGGAGAGGCTGAGGCAGGGGGACTACAAGTTCCAGACCAGCTTGGGCTACATAGTGAAACCCTGGCTTAGCAACAGAAAAGAAGGATAAGTAGGGTTGGTGGCACGGCCCAGGGGGTAAATGCTTTCGCTGGATGACCGTAGTTCAATCCCTGGGATCCACTGGTAAGGGGAGAGAGTAATTAATTCTGCATAATGCCTAACAGTAAGTGTGGACCTTGATTACTTGTTAAAAAGTGAAAGCACAAAAAGAAGAGGCAAAAGGCGCAAGAACACAGAGTTCTGCAGGCAGCACTGTGGCATCTGAGCATCTCCGCACCCCAGGGGGCTCCACAGTCTAGAGAGTCTGGGAGGTCACCACTGCTTTCAAATCCCAAGCACATCTGTGGTTTAGTCACACCAGATAACTCTGGTGACAGGGCCAGCTGCTGTGCACATGAATGGCCCAGTCACACAAAGAAGGCGATGAAAGGCACTGGTGTGCTGCTGGGCGTTGGGAACGCCCGTAAGCCCAGCCCTCCTGGGACTAAAGCAGCAAGATTGAGAGTTGAGACCAGCCTGGGCTACATAGTGAGCCCTTGTCTCCAAAGAGAGAGGACAGAGACAGACAGATTGTCATGCCCATAGCTAGGTGTGTCCTGTCCCCTGCCCCAACCTCAGAACTTTCATTCCTGGAGGAGCTGACCCCATGTCTCCTTACCAGCGCTGGCCCGCAGGGAGGAGGAGAGCCTGGCTGTTCCTACCAAGCGGCGACGGGTCACAGCCGAGATGGAGGGAAAGTACGTCATTCACATGCCCAAGGGGACTACGCCCCGAACCCGCAGGATCCTGGAGCAGCAGGCAGCGAAAGGTACAGGCTGTGGGGGCTGCAGGTGGAACTCTCTTAGCTTGCTGCCCAGTGATGGTCCTGTCCAGTAGGTAGGGGCTCAGAGGGGAGTAGCCAATGGCATCTGGCTAAGGGGACAGCGACCACAGAAGAGACTCCCTCACTTCTGTGCTGTCATCCTGCAGTTAGGGCTGGCCTGGGAAGCAAGTGACCATACCTGGCTAAAAGTAGGCCTGCAGTGGACACCAGTACTGTGAGGCAAAGCAAGGGCTCGTCCCCTGGGCTCCTGAGGTGGTGGCTCCATGGTAGTGATGTTTTAGAAAGTTCTGCGGGTTCTCCCGGAAGAACTGTGAACAGTGCACATTCCCTTCCGGGCCATCCCCATGACTGCTGTCCCTCCCCGAGGAGCGGAGTGGACCTGTGGATGTCACAGAATATGTCCCTACAGAGCCTCTGTTCTGTTCTGTTTCCTTCGGTTTGTTTTTTCCAGACGGGGCCTCACTATGTAGCCCTGGTTGTCACGGAACTTCCTCTTGGCCTCGAACTCACAGAGATCTGCCTGCCTCTGCCTCCCGAGTGCTGGGATGAAAGGTGTGAGCCACCACTGCATGGCCAGTTTATTTTTTATGTTCTGTGTTTGAGGTGCTGCGGGTGTGGCCTTGTGGGTGCTAGGGTAGTGATCTTCCACCTACCTACAGCCTCGGTCTCTATACATATTTGGCACAAATATTGTATCTTTTAGATACAATATAAAATTTCCTCAGGTCATTTTTTTCTTTCATTTTTCATCTTTTAGTTAAAACTTTCTTTTATTTATTTATTTATTTATTTCTAGACAGAGTTTCTCTGTGTAGCTTTGGAGCCTATCCTGGCACTCGCTCTGGAGACCAGGCTGGCCTCGAACTCACAGAGATCCGCCTGCCTCTGCCTCCCGAGTGCTGGGATTAAAGGCGTGCGCCACCAATGCCAAGCTGGTTTTTCTTTTTTTTTAATTTATTAATTTTTATTTTATATGCTTTGGTGCTTTGCCATGGGTGTCAGGTCCTCTGGGTTCTGGAATTATTCAGACAGCTGTGAGCTGTCATGTGGGTGCTGGGAATCGAACCCAAGTCGTCTGAAAGAGCAGTCAGTGCTCTTAACCACTGAGCCATCTCGACAGCCCCTTAAAACTTGCTTTCAGAAGCTGTTTTGTGTGTGTGCTATCTGCAATCATATGCATACTGTGCACGACAATCTTTGAAAGCCAGAAGAGGATGCTGGGATTCCTGAAACTAGAGGGCTGGGAGTGGAGCCTGGGTCCTCTGCAAGAGCAGTAGGTTCTCTTTTAACTTCCGAGCCGTCTCGTCAGGCCCTGTTCTTTGAGGAATTCATGTCATTTTTTTTGGAAGTTTTTTTTTTTTTTTTTTTTTTTTTTTTTTTTTTTTGAGCTGCCCTAGAACATGTGATCTTGTGGGCTTGATATTCTGCAGGCCTTGTGTTGGTAACCTTAAGTGCTCACTTGGCAGGTCGGATCTGGAAGACAGCATTTCACAGCACTTCTTCAGCTCTCTTGTTCTTTCTGCTGCTTGTCTGCAGTGCCCCCTGAGATGTGGAGAGGTTGATAGAGGTGGCTGGTCCACCTTGGCTGAGTGCACGCGCGCGCGCGCGCGCGCGCGCGCGCGCGCGCACACACACACACACACACACACACACACACACACACACACACTTACGCTCAGCACTTTGACCAGCTGAGTCTTTGCAGTAAATGCTGCCTCTGTAGAAACAGCTTCTCTGACTAAGACTTACCTATGGGTACAAACACAAACATGTACCGATGTGTGTAAATTATTCCCTATTGTGTGTATATGTGTGAATCTATGTGAGTTTACATGTACCACATGCATGTAAGAGCCTGCAGAGGCCCGAAGACGGTGTCAGATCCTTTGGAACCAGAGTCATGGGGGGAACCTCTGCAAGAGCAGTCAGTGCTCTTAACTGCTGAGCCATCTTTTCAGAGCCCCCGCCCGCCTAAACATGAATATTCAGAAGGCAATTTGATAACATGTCCATTTATCAAAACAACAATATTAAAGTTTCTATTCGGGCCTATGGCCTCCTAAGTCATGGACATTTGGCCAGGGTTACCATCCCAGGCATGTATTTCCCCCTGTGGAGCAGGCCTCAAATCTAATCAGAGAGGTGTTGGTTAAGTTCATAACCTCATGCCATTGTTACGCCAGTGGGCACACTTAGCCTGGCAGGTTGATATTTTCACATTCAGAGTTCCCTGTTGGGTAATACCACTGATGACTTTTCCCCCAGTGGCCTGCAGAGTAACTTCCAACACTGAAATCAACCATCAAGGCGGAACTTCGTTTTTCCAGTCAGTTCCAGCTTGATTTTCTCTGTTCTCCAACCAAAGTGCGTTGTGCCTGCTTCCATAGGATTGCTATCTTGTGCTGCCTGTCCTGCAGAACTCACTCTGGAGACCAGGCTGGCTACTAACTTACAGAGATCCCCTGCCTCTGCCTCCCATGTGCTGGGACTAAAGGCGTGTGCCACCACGCCGGATCTGGTGGCTTATTTTTAATGGTTGTTTGTTTCCATCGTGTTTTAGGCTATGACTCAGTGGTTACTATGTTGGTGCAGATGTAGGCTTTTGGTTGGTTGGTTGTTTGAGATGGGGTTTCCCTGTGTAGCCTTGGCTATAGCCCAGGAACTTGATCTGTAGATCAGGCTGGTGGTCTTGAACTCAGAGATTCACCTGCCTCTGCTTCCAGGGTGCTGGGATTAGTGGTGTACGCCAGCACTGTTCGTTTGAGATGTAGGTTTTATTTAGTGGAGGGCTCATCACCCTTCATCACATTCTGCCAGATGCCCACAGTCGCAAACATGAGAAGAGCAAGAGAACATTAAGAACGCTTTACCCTTAGGGCTGGAGAGATGGCTCAGAGGTTAAAAGCACTGAGTGCTCTTCCAGAGGTCCTGAGTTCAGTTCCCAGCAACCACACGGTGGCTCACAACCATCTGTAATGAGATCTGGTGCCCTCTTCCAGCCTGCAGGCGTACATCCAGGCAGAACATTGTATAAATAAAATCTTTAAAAAAAGAAAAAACACACCCAAAAGTTGGGTGTGATAGCACCCAGCTGTAACTCTAGCATTTGGGAGGCGTAGGCAGGAGAATCGGGAGTTCGGGGCCAGCCTCAGTTACATCGTGAGTTCCAAGTTAGCCTAGGCTACGTGAGACCCAGTCTTAGAGAAGAAACACTTTCCCTTCCACATCGACTGGTGCAGAGGCACAATGGATTTCAGGTGTCAATTTTCATTGATTGTTTTAGTTGGGGTCACTATTGCTGTGACGAAGTACCATGATCAGAAGCAGTGCACCTCATGTCACAGGACAGGAACTCACGCAGGGCAGGAACCTGGAGGCAGGAGCTGACGCAGAGGCCATGGAGGAGTGCTGCTTACTGGTTTGTTCCCATGGCTTGCTCAGTCTGCTCTTATAGAACCCATGATCACCAGCCTGGTGGTGGCAGTCCCTACCCCATCAATCACTAATTAAGAAAATGCCCTACAGGCTTGCCTACAGCCGATCTTACGGAGGCCTTTTTTTTTTTTTTAATATTTATTTATTATGTGTATAGTGTTCTGTCTGCACGTATCCCTGCGTGCCAGAAGAGGGCACCGTATCTTCTTACAGATGCTTGTGAGCCACCATGTGGTTGCTGGGAATTGAACTCAGGACCTCTGGAAGAGCAGCCAGTGCTCTTAACCTCTGAGCCATCTCTCCAGCCCTCATGGAGGCCTTTTATTACTTGAAATTCTATCCTCTTAGATGACTTTAGCTTGTGTCAAGTTGACATAAAACTAGCCAGCTCATTGATCTTTCCCAGATTTGACAGTTGTCATGAGTTTGAGGTCAACATGAGCCACCCGTGTAGGTCATCCCACCTTGTCATCCACTCTGTGGTCAGCCTAGACATGGTTCCATGGGGACATTAGGCAGGTGTTGCTTCATGGTGCCATTTCTGTTCCAGGTCTCCATAGAACATCTGTGTTCGATCGCCTTGGTGCTGAGACCAAAGCAGACACAACGACAGGGACTAAGGTGAGTATGGTATTGTTTATGTTTTTTACTCTTTTGGTTTTTGAAGGGCCCAACACCCAGCTCCCAAATAAATCACACATGGAGGCTTACTCTTAGTTATGAGTGCCCGGCTCATTTCTTGCCAGCTTTTCTTAAACTATCCCATCTACCTTTTCCCTCTGGGCTTTTATCTTTCTGATTTCTGTATATCTTACTTTCCTTCTTCCTCTGTGGCTGGCTAGCAGCTGGCCCCTGATCCTGGTTTCTCCTGTTTATCCTCTCTGCCTGCCAGCCCCACCTACCCTTGCTCCTGCCTCGCTATTGGCCGTTCAACTCTTTACTAGGATCACCAGGTGTTTTAGACAGGCACTGTAACACGGCTTCACAAAGTTAAACAAATGCAGCGTAAACAAAAGTCACACAGCTGAAAACAATATTCCACCACAGTATGGCGTGCTGGAGCGCTCGTGCCGGCAAGTGCTGGTCCCCTCAGTGTACTGCTCGACACTCATGCTTCTATGCATCTGTGGCCCAGGTGCCACGCTCTCATCCCCCCATTTGAACCTGTTTTCTTCCTTTCTTTTTTTCTTTTTTTCTTTCTTTCTTTCTTTCTTTCTTTCTTTCTTTCTTTCTTTCTTTCTTTCTTTCTTTCTTTTTGGTTTTTGAGACAGGATTTCTCTGTGTAGCTTTGGAGCCTGTCCTGGCACTCGCTCTGGAGACCAGGCTGGCCTTGAACTCACAGAGATCCTCCTGCCTCTGCCTCCCGAGTGTTGGGATTAAAGGCGTGCACCACCAACGCCCGGTGAACCTGTTTTCTTGTTGGCCGTGCTGGATTTCCTGTTTGCCTTCTGTCTTTCCTCAGCTGACTTGTAGCCCAGCCCCAGGCTGCCTGGCTGCCAGATTTCTTTCTTCTAGCCCAGGTCCCATCCAGTCTCAGTGTCTTCTACCATAGCAACTCCCTGAGCCTTCAGCTCTCGAGCTCTGGGTGCCTGCCATCTGCTTCCTTCCAGTCAGCTGAATGCATTCCAAGGTGGATGACCCCATCTCTTCTCCTCCCTGTCCCCTCTGCCTGTGGGCATGGATAGGATCCCACACTGCTGCCATTAGTCCTCGCAACCCTGTCCCCACATGCCACAGGAAGAGGAAGTGTCTGACAGTCTCATATAGCTCTGGGCGGTCTGACACTGTGTGGCTAAGGATGTGTTTGAACTCCTGACCCTCTGGCCTCCACTTCCTGAGTGCCCAGGTGACAGGCATGCACTGCCACACCTGGCTTATTTAGGACTAAATGCTTGAGTCAGTCTCTCCTGTAGCTTAGACTGGCCTAGAACTCATGAACTCATGATCCTTCTCCTTTGATTTCATGAGTACTGAGATCACAGACTTGCACTTATGCTTCCAAGGGTTTGATTTTATTTTGTTTTTTGTTTGTTTGTTTGTTTGTTTTTTGAGACAGGGTTTCTCTGTATTGTTTTGGAGCCTGTCCTGGAGCTCAATTGGTAGACCAGGCTGGCCTCGAACTCCCGAGTGCTGGGATTAAAGGCGTGGGCCACCAACGCAGGCCCGGCCCAAGGGTTTGATTTTTTTTTTTTTTAATAAGTTTTTTTTTTTTTTAAAGATTTCATTTATTTATTTATTATGTATACAAAATTCTGCTTCCATGTATATCTGCACACCAGAAGAGGGCACCAGTTCTCATAACAGATGGTTGTGAGCGACCATGCGGTTGCTGGGAACTGAACTCAGGACCTCTGGAAGAGCAGTCAGTGCTCTTAACCTCTTAGCCATCTCTCCAGTGCCCCAAGGGCTTGATTTTTAACCATGTCCACAACAAAACCTATTCTTGTTGCTGTAATGAGCAGTTCCCTAGGTTCTGGGCATGGTGTGTGCTTAGGAAAATACCCTAGAGCTCACTGGCTGGGTGGCCTTGGCCTTGTCATTTTGGCTGTTTGTACCTTGGTTCCTGAATCTGCATAGTGCCAGTTGTTAGGGCTGTGGTTGTCAGCAAGGAGCTGGAATGGGCATGGGGCCTGGCAAGCGCTTCTTAAGTATCGCCCACGTGGGCATTGTAGCTTTCACTGAGCCTCATGCTCACCAGGGGAGAGCCACCTGCCCTCTGTCTCTCACCTCCCAGAATCTTCCATGATGGTGATGGTGACACAGGCTCATAGGATTGGAGACCCAGCCCTGGGAGGTTTTAGCGAGTGCCCAGAAGTGTGACTACTGTCACTTCTGCCTCGGGAACTGAGTGCACGCTTTTTCCCCCTTTGCTCTATCTCCTTGGAGAGCCTGCAGTCCCTGGCATCTCTGAGATGTGGATTGTCCCTGACTGCCCTCCAGTATGCTATTCTCCTTCAAATGTTGGCAGCCATGGCCCACATCTGCCATCCCAGCAGTCAGGAGACTGAGGCAGGAGAATCTCAAGTTTGAGATCGTGGGCTGTGTAGTAAACCCTGTCTCAAAAAGTAACGGAGCCAGGTGTTGGTGGCACACTCCTTTAATCCCAGCACTCGGGAGGCAGAGGCAGAGGCAGGCGGATCTCGGTGAGTTTGAGTCCAGCCTGGTCTCCAGAGCGAGTGCCAGGACAGCCTCCAAAACAATACAGAGAAACCCTGTCTTGAAAAAAAAACAAAAAAAGTAACGGAAAAGAAAATCTATGAAGATCCGCTGTCTTTCCTAGAACTTGGCTGACAGTTGAAGTTGTAGAATTAGTGGAGTTATTTCTGATGCTGCCTCCTCCATTGTGCTATGACTTCACGAGGGTGTGGCCAGGGTTGTCCTAACCACTGTGGCATCCTCAAACCCTGTTCATCCTAGTCTGAGTTTCATTAGCTGTCTACTAAGTGAATGACCGAGTAAGGGGCTGGGGTGTGCTTTAGTGGTGGAGCAGTTCCCAGCTATGTGAGACCCTGGACCCTGTCTGAGGCACGACACAAGGCACAGCTAAGAAGTCCTAGGGGATCTTCCAGTGCTCACCCTACCCCTGCAGGGCGCTCCCCGTTCTCCTGTCTTTATTAGTACCACTGCCACTCAGCTTACAGAGCTCCAATGCCCCGTACCCTTTCCTAAGGTACCCTCCTGAGCCGCCTGGCATAGTCAGCTCTTCCTCTGGACTCCCTCGCCTCTGGTACCCCTCAAGAGTGCTGTCCCCGTCACATGGGATGACACTGACCCGCCAGCTGTTGTAGAGGCCAGCACGGATCAGGCAGCGTGTTGAGTGACTAAATGACCCACTGTCTCTTCTCTGACTCCTACAGCCTACTGGAGTTTTCAGCCGCTTAGGGGCCACCCCAGAGATGGATGAGGATATGGCCTGGGACAGTGATAATGACAGCAGCAGCTCTGTCCTGCCGTATGCTGGAGTCCTGAAGAAGCTAGGAAGGGGCCCCACCAAGGCCAGTCCCCAGCCAGCACTGACTGTCAAAGCCAAGGCCACAAGCTCTGCAACCATAACAGCTCCAAGACTGCGGCGCCAGGCACCTCCCTCTCGCCCGGGGCCAGAGAAGAAGCCAGAGTCCCTGCCCAAAGTCAGTGTCCTTCAGAGACTGGGCAAGGCTGCTGTTGTGTCTGAGGCCCAGGACAGCCAGGTCACAAGCACCAAGAGTAAGTCCTCAGCTGAGGTCAAAGTGGCCATTAAGAGGACTCTGGTAGGGCCCCGGGGGAGCAGCTCCATCGAGAGCCTTGGTGCCCAAATGGACCATGCAGGCACTGTGAGTGTGTTCAAAAGACTGGGCCGAAGGACCTTCTAGCCGCACAGCGGGTGGGGTGCAGCTTGCCAGGCAGGCAGGTTCCTGCTTCCGCCCGTCCCTTCTAGTCTTTCTTGAGGGCTCAGCTGTCCTCCCTCCCAGCTCTAGGTGACACAGGGCTTGGTTCTCTCCAGCATTCCTGCTGCTTCCAAGCACTCAGACCCCTGGTCTTCCATGTTCCTGCGGCCTGACCTTGCCTGCTCTGGGACTCTCCCCGTCCTCTGTCCTCTGTCCTCTGAGAACTAATGGTGGCCTTGGCAGATTCCCCTTTTCTACCTCTCCCCAAAGCCAAGTGCCCCGCCTGCCCCACAAAGCTGTCACCTGGAGGCATCCCCTCCGCTCCCCACCCCCACCCCCGCTGTGGTGTCTCTCCTTCTCTTCACTCTTCTCATTTCTCTTCTGTTTTCTGTCCCTGTGGCAAGGCCCGACCGTCCGCTGCATCCTGCCTGACCCTCCTGCACCTATGACCTCCCCGAGACCCCCTCGTCGACGGTGGCGTCAAACCTGTAAAGACTGTTAGCCGCCTTCCATTCCCAGGCTGGAGGGACTCCCTCCCCCAGATCCTGGCCTGCAGCTGGGGCACCTCCGGCTCCCTGCCCTGGCCGTCTTTTTCCTTGGTGGGTGGGGCAGCAGACACTGGGGAGGGAGAGGAGGGGAGCTGGGAGAAGGTAACAGCTGTTTTAATATATTTTTGTGACTTCCAAACTGTCCTTTCCCCTCCTTCAGCGGGAGTCACAGGTCTGTTCCTTATATCAGCACGGTGAGGAGGGTGGGCACTAGAGAAGGAGGGAGTAACGGTGGCAGTCCACTTGGTGAAGCCATCCCCTGGCTCTGAACTGCAGGGTCTGGCACTGTGGCTTTTCCTGTGGATTTCACCTGGTACTGCGCTGCCTATGGAGAACTTGGTTTGGTTTTGAGATAAGATCTCATTACATAGCCCTGGCTTACCTGGAGCTTGATATGTAGACCAGGCTGGCCTCAAACTCTCAAGAGACCCACCTGTCTCTGCCTCCCAAGTGCTGGGATTAAAGGCTTTTGCCACTGTACCCAGCTGGATTTCTTTTCTTTTCCTTCCTTTCTTTTTTTTCTTTGAAACCCAAGATGGCCCAAACTTGATACATACTCCAGGAAGACTTGGAATGTCTCACTTAAAAAAATTATTTTGTGTGTATGAATATTTTGCCTCCACGTATGTATCAGTCACATGAGTGCCTAATATCCATGGAAACTGGAAGAAGATTTGGATACCCTGAGTTAAGTATAGTTGTGAGCCCCCGTGTGGGCTCTGAGAAACAAACTTAAGTTGAACACTGTCACCTTCTCTGTCCTTTCTTTTTTTTTTTTTTTTTTTGGTTTTTCTAGACAGGGTTTCTCTGTGGCTTTGGAGGCTGTCCTGGCACTAGCTCTTGTAGCCCAGGCTGGTCTCAAACTCACAGAGATCTGCCTGCCTCTGCCTCCGGAGTGCTGGGATTAAAGGCGTGCACCACCAATGCCCAGCTTCTCTGTCCTTTCTTTTGAGGCAGCGTGTTACTGTGTAGCACTGCTTGACCTCAGACTTGGGATTCTCTTGCCTCTACCTCTTAATCGGCTGCAATTACAGGCCTGAGCCAACTACTGACAGACTCGCAGCTGTTATAAAATACTAGTGCCCAAAGAAATGGGGCAGGGGCAGAACTACTGCAGTTGTATGGTCAGAAGATGTTGAGGTGACATCATTGGGTGGGTGAATTGGGAATAAGAAGAGGCAATTCTTCAAACTTCAGAAGAACGCTCTGTCAGGACAGATGTGGGCAAAGGCCTTGCAATGGGGTAGTGACCAGGAAGGTGACTGGCAGGAGGAGGCATGGCAGCTGGGTAGGAGGAACAGCCATTGGCAGGGATGGGAACGGATGGGAAGAACAGCGCCGGGCGGTTCTGTTGACTGTGTTAGAGGGGCCTGGTCGAGTGAGGTTTGTGTGTGATTCCAGCACTTGGGAGGCTGAGACGAGGATAGCTGAGTTTGAGATCTGCCTGAAACACAGTAAAATTCTGTCTCAAAAACTGTACAGATTTTTAAAAGCCTGGCAGAGTGGCGCATGCCTTTAATCCCAGCTCTTGGGAGGCAGAGGCAGGAGGCTCTCTGAATTTAAGGCCAGTCTGGTCTTCAGAGCGAGTTCCAGGACAGCCATATGATGAGACCATGTCTATGAAAAAAATAAAATTAAAAAAATTTGAAAAAGCCGGGCGTTGGTGGCGCATGCCTTTAATCCCAGCACTCGGGAGGCAGAGGCAGGCGGATCTCTGTGAGTTTGAGGCCAGCCTGGTCTCCAGAGCGAGTGCCAGGATAGGCTCCAAAGCTACACAGAGAAACCTTGTCTCGAAGAAAAAAAAAAAGAAAATGTCTGCTCTAATGCCAGTGAGGAATAGATTTGCCTGGAGAGGGTGAGCAAGCAGGCAAAAGGGTCAGGCTTCTCCTCTCCATCTTTTCTATAGGCTGCCAGCAGAAGGTGTGGCCCAGATTACAGGTGGATCTGGATTAAAAATTGTTGTTCCCATTTCAAATAACACCCCCCCCCCCACACACACACACCAAGATGGTTTCTTTGTGTAGCTGTGGCTGTCCTGGAACTCCCTCTATAAACCAGGCTGGCCTAGAACTCACAGAGATCTCTACCTGCCTCTGCCTCTGGAGTGTTGGTATTAAAGCTGTGCACTACCACAAGTGAATTAATTAAGAAAAAAAAAAAAACCATAATCTGGGTGGTGGTGGCACAATCTTTAGTTTCAGCACAGGAGGGGGAAGACAGAGGCAGGAGGATGTCTGTTTCTCTGTGAGTTTGAGGCCAATCTGATCTACAGAGTGAGTTCCAGGACAGAGGTACTTAGAGAAACCTCGCCTCTAAAAGCCAAAACAAGCAAACAAAAACCAACCTTGGCAATCAAGAACAGGTACCACAGTGGCTGAGGCTAGCTTTGAACTCCTCCTCCTGAGTCCACCTCCCAAATGCTGGGATTAGAGTACATGTGCCACCGTGCCTGGTTTAAAATTTCATAAAAAGTTTCTTTTTCTGTGGTACTGGGGTTTGAGCCCAGCACTTCATACATGCTAGACAAGTATACACCCTTCAGTCAAGGAGTACCGAGATGCCATGCTAACTAACCTGGCGTCTGCAGCAACAGCCCTGGGACTCGCTGCTAAAGTCACTGTGGCACGGAGATGAGGAACCATTGTGGTTTGTGGTCCCAGCTCGTGGGAAATGCTGGTCTCTTGGTTTGGCTGGGGATCACTTTGATTAGCCTTCTTCTAAACAGGAACTTATTTTAAGCCAGGGAAGTCCTCAAAAACCGTGTGTGCCGATCCTTTGGCTTGACGCTAAAATTGGCAGAGTGTGGTAACACTGTTGACTGAAGCACAGCCACGAATGGGAGCCAGCTCCTCTGCGGTTGCACCGGTCACATTGCTGACATAATGCAC